AAAAGGGGAAGCCAGATTTACTTAACAACTGTATTACTAACTTAACAACTGCAGTGATTCACTTAAAAACTATAGCAAGAAAAGTCATAAAATGGAGCAAAATTCACTTAATAACTGTCTCGCTTAGCAACAGAAAATGTGGGCTCAATTGTGGCTGTATGTCAAGGATTACCTGCACTGTAGGGAACATTTTTTAAAATCGGAATTGCCAACCCAATTACATATAGGTAATTCTTTCCACAGCAATCAAAAACTTACTGTGTAACACATGATTAAGCCTGGGCTTCAATGATTTTATACAAGTATTGCCATTTGTTAACTATTTCTGATTCCATTCTTGTTGAGTATCTTTCACAGATTTTATTGTAATTTAACATTGAATGTTAATGAAATTGATGATTGAAAGTGCATTATTTTCCCAATCCCAATTTTTTTCTTTTAGAAATAAATGCAACCTTATTTTCAGGTTGCTCTAATACTGATATAGAATAATAAATTTAATTAGCACAGGCATTTTTATTTTTTAAAAAAAATAGAAAAAATGTTCAGAGCAGTCTATTTTTAAAAAGATGAAAACCTACAGTATAATATAAAGACAAGGATGTAGAAAATAAGACATCCTGATGTGGTGAGTGTAAAGCTCTACCATGAATTAGGGACAAATTGAAAACAGACACAATAATTATCTATCATCACAGCATATGGCAAACAGATGAGTTATGCATGCTTTAGTTCTAAAACTGGGTTTATTGCTATTCAACTATCATTCTCAATTACCTGTCCTCATTGAACTCGGTTATTTTTGAGGAGATGCATTTATAAGTGGGTTTACTAATACTTAGAGAACCCACTGAAATCCCATCATTGGATTCAATTCAATATTATCAATATTTATTAATATAAAGATTTATTTGTAGCATGCTCGTGTTTATTAATGCAAAAGTAGTTATTACTGGTATATTTTAATATTTTGCTGTTTATTCCAAGAGGAAATCTATGGTATGTCTACAAAAGTTACACTTGATCTCATTTTCAAATAATTTCCATCTGTACTTTGGAATTGATACTATTGACATTATACCATAGACAGGTAACTAAAGAAACATGTCATTTCTTTTTAATATGAATTGTGCACTGAGATATAAGCTAATCTTAATTCTTTCAGTGGAACCATGAATCAATTATTGTTTCATTTTGTCAATTCTTGAGAAATTCTAACTGGATTGATTAGACACATTTATTTATTTATTTATTATTTACATGATCATTTCGTAGTGACATCTGATAAAATCTGACTCAGTTATATGGACAACTAGTTCCAACAGGACTTTTCCAGTTATCTGCTTGCAGGGAAAGAAGGGTTTGAGGGAGCATCTTAAAATAATCACAGATTTTGAACTAATGTCCTAGAGCCGTGATGGCGAACCTATGGCACGGGTGCCACAGGTGGCACGTGGAGCCATATTGGTGGGCACATGAGCTCAGCTCCGGCACGCATACATGCGCCGGCCGGTTGATTTTCAGGCCTTCTGGGCCCACCAGAAGTCAGGAAACACACTGTTTCCAGCCTCCAGAGAGCCTCTAGGAAGGGTGGGGAAGGCTGTTTTTGCCCTCCCCAGGCTCCTAGAAAGGCTCTGGAGCCTGGGGAAAGCAAAAAAATGGGCCTACTGGGCCCTCTTGCCATCACATGCCAAAAGCAGGGGGAGCATGAGGGGGCAGGGTGCATAGAATTATGGATGTGGGCACATGTGTGTGTGTGTGTGTCGTCCCCCCCCGCTTTTAATTTAATTTAATTTAATTTAATTTCCAATTTATATACCGCCCTTCTCCCTGAGGACTCAGGGCGGTGTACAGCCAAGATAAAAAACATAGAATACAAATATTAAAACATTTAAAAATATATATAAATTTTGGCCCGAAAGTTAAGAATCACAGATTAATTAAAAGAATTTAAAAATTTTAAAAATGTTTGGCACGTGATGGCAAAAAGTTAGCTATCACTGTCCTAGAGCATTGTTTCTTAAACTTTCAAGAATATAGAACATCAAACAATATCTATTTTTATGAAAAATGCAATGACTGTTTCTATAAAAAAAAAAAAAGACCAATATTGGAACAAGCAAACTTTAATAATGCTCTTTATTTTCTTCTACATTTTATATATCAATTAAAAATCTTAATGAGAGATATGAGTTTATTATATATCTGATAGTGTATTTCATTAAAGACTAGAATGATATTTGTTTTTAATGAAGTCTTTAGAGATAGAAAATATTACTTCTTTAATCGTGACTCTGCACTTTTTCATTGTAATGCTTGCATCTGTTCTGTTCCATTGAAAGATGGAACATTAGAAGATGGTGCATTTTTCATTTGCTTCAATGTGATCTCTAAGGGGAATGATGAGAATATTGAGTAGTAAAATTAGATATATCTAAACCCAGGAAGAACTTATTTGGCTCTTAGGATCGTTGGGCAGAGGATCTTTAGACTGTTTGGGGTGCACCAATGCCCCCGCAAAGGATAGTTCAAGGAACAAGATTCTAGAGCTCTCATGAACTTTGTTTTTACAGTTTAAGTACATAGTTACCTTTTTAATTAAAAGATGGTGCCTTAGTATGTCCCATTATTTTCTTACAGCTTATCTTTTTATATACAGTAACATGATTTTACATACTGACCACTGCCTTCTGAGACTATTATGCTGTTGGAGAGTGGCATGTTGAGCCTAGAAGATGGATGTAGTTCTTATTACCAATATCCACTCAAGTCTTTTAACATTTGTAAAACAAATTAGTCTATGACACGAGTGTCAAACCCGCGGCGTCATGTTACCATAATGTGACATTTGCAATGTTTTTCCTATTCGCTGAGGTGGATGTGGCCTGCATGGACCACACCCAGCTCGCGGGCCGCCAGTTTGGCACCCCTGGTTTGTGAGAACTGCAGCATACCTGAGGGTTTAAATTTGTAAATTTCAAAATATAAACAATGCAGGGCTTTTGAGTTTTATTTATTTATTTATTTATTTTGCAGCGTTGGTAATTACTGTTCATATCATGAACAATGACTCATGTTTTTATTGCTTTTTCTTTCATTATACAAGTGATCACCACACCCTTGTAAAATAAATATGAACTTTGCTTCTGTCTGAAGATCTGTGAATCTTGTAAATGTAAAATTTACATTTTAATTTGCTCTATTGCTTATGCTTCTTTCCCCGTACATTCTAAAAACTAATTTCAGTAACTGTACAAGTGTTTTTGTTCTAACAAAATAAAACTGTCTGCTTTTGAACATGGTAATTATTTTGCTTCCTGCCTGTTAAATTCTTCACCTCCTTTATGGCATGGGTGAAGTTAAAAGAGACAGTTACTATATTTCCTTCCTTCCCAATTATTATAGAAATTTGACCTGCTGAGAGGATTTGCTGCTTTGGCAACTTATAAGTTATCTTCCAGCTTTTATTATTTACAGAGGGTGTGTGTTTGCACCACATCCCTGTGGATCTGCCTGACAGCTGTGCTGCTTGTTTCCCCCTCTACGCCAGAAGTCAAGTTGTGAACTGTACTAATTCTTTGCTGACTGACTGAGAATAGCCAGAAGTTTTGGTCTTTTATTTCCATTTTAAATCCAGAATATTAAATAATGATCAACTCCCTAAAAATGGTTTTCTTTTAAGCAAGGAATATTAAAATAATTTGGGCCCACCTGTATGCATGCTGGAAGAGACTTCTCCAACCTATTGTTTTCTGGATTTAACGTGAATGAAACTTTTAGAATTTTCAGCTAGCATGGCCATGTTTGGATAGTTTACAATGGCTTGCAGAAACTCAGTGGATCCATGTCTTAAATCTTGGCACATGAAATTTATATGGAAATCCTTCCATACAGTTTGTGATAAATTTTAAGCTACACTGTAGCTTCATATGTACTCTTATATTTCCACCAACTATTTCATAGATGTTTTCACATGACTTCACCTTTAAGGAAGCTTCTCTGTTCCAATCCTGCTTCACTAGCAAAGTTGCATCTTCTGTTTCTAGATTGTTCTCTGGCCTTCTCAAGGATGCCTACTCTCCATTCATGAATTCATACATGAACATAAATGTTTCATAAAAATATGAAACCGCAAAAAGCTATGAGTAACCCTAAACTTAAAAATAAATGTATTGAAACATAATCATTTTCCTCAGCAATATTAATTAAATTTTTCCTAACAGGTTTCCCATATTCTGGGTGTATTGTCTTATGCGTGTATACATGTGTCAATATTCTGAAATTTCATTCATATTTAGCTTTTTTCTTGATCTTTTGTGTATTCACTAAAAAGTAGTATAAAAATGTACATGGCTACTCTATCAAATGAACCAGCCCCAAATAAGGTAAGTTTCAGTGGTCCTTCTCTGGGAAGTGTCCCTTTAGAGGTGAGATGGGTGCCAACCAGAGAAGTAGTTATGACCAATCAGATCCATAGTTTATGAGTAGTTGATTCTTCATTTTCCTGGGATTACAGAAAGCCTTTTTAAATTACTTAGGCCATTTAAATTTTATTTTAGTTTGTGGATTTCCTTTAGAAAAGAATCATAAAAGTTGTTCATTGTACCTAATAGAATCTGTTATAATTCATAATTGACACTGGCTTATTTCTCAAACCTATGCTCACAAATGATATTAGGTGTGTTCTTTTTAAGTGGAAATTTAAATGGATAGATGGACTCTGAATATCTGTGAAACTTAAAAGCAGACCACTACAAAGTTTTATAGTGTGTAGTAATACTGTAAGGCATTGGTCACAGGAAATTAATAACCCTGCTGTGGGTAAAGATTACAGAAGATTCCTGCCGATTGTATTTGACAAGCTGATGTAAAAACTGTTAGATGCTTGTTTAGATCTTAGCTAAAAAAAAACAAAAATGGGTTTTCTCAGAAATGAAGGGTTTATTTTAATTCTTCTAACAATCCCTCCTCCCACACCTTCTTTCTTTTCTTTCTTTTAGGTGTGGAGTATCAAACCAGAGGCAGTCCTCTGTAAACTCCCACACGGGGTTGAAACGTCATATGCCAGTATGACTATTAGCACAGATGTACACACTTCAGAGCTCGGCAGTCAAAGAAGAGGAAGAGAGAAACAAGATGTTTAGAGTCAACAGCGAAACTGCTTGCATGACTACCGCCTTCCAAGAGTGCCTTCAGTTTCTGAAGTTGAAGAATAAGTAAACGGAAACAAGGATTACATATTATATTCTTTTTTCATTTCTTTTTAACCACTTGGGATTTTAGTCTTTGAATTGACGTGGCCACAAGCACTGGACAGCAATATGTGTCATGTCATTGTTACTTGTCGGTCAATGTTATGGACACTCTTGAGTATTGTTGTGGCATTTGCGGAGCTCATAGCTTTCATGAGTGCGGATTGGCTGATTGGCAAGCCCCAACCTGGAAGTTTTCAGGACACAGACAGCAGGAGGGTAGGATCAGTGGATCCCTATCGTCCAACCTTGGGGATCTATGGACGTTGCACCAGAATTGAGCACCTCCAGTCTTCCATGCCTGATACATCTTGTGGCCCCTATGCAGATAACTTCAGTGAAATTGCCAGTGGGTTTTGGCAAGCTACTGCAATTTTTCTTGCTGTGGGGATCTTGATACTCTGTGCTGTTGCATTCGTTTCTGTTTTCACCATGTGTGTACAGAGTATTATGAAGAAAAGTATTTTTAATGTCTGTGGGCTGCTACAAGGAATTGCAGGTAGGTGTGACAAATAAAAAGGGAAGCTCTTACATATGTTTGTAATAAGTGGATTTGGAACCCCCAGATTTAGATTTTATTTTTGTAAATCTTTTTCTCATGTTATATAGCTGACTCAAAGAAATATTATGAGTATTTCCAAATTAAAGATGGTTCAATTAGTGGCAACAGCTGCCCAGAATTGTCTTATCTTAAAAAGCAAGACAGGCTTGGATCGGATGAGTATGTAAATGGGAGGCCACCAGGAAATCCCAGGGCTCAGATTATTGCAAAATAGCAAATAACATTTCAAAAGACAGTCACTTCTGTGTTTCTGCCAAGAAAACTATATGCATGTGTTCATGAAGTCACCATAGGTCAAACTGAACTCATAAACACTTAAATTTCATTTGAAGTCAGGTAGGAATGTTTATTCAGATTCATCAGTGGAAAAGGAAGGGAATCATATTCCCTGATTGCTCAAAATCCTGAAGAAGGGACATTATAAGAAGGGTATATTAATAGAAAAACAAGCCCATTTATATATATTTTATATATTTATATATTTATCAATTTTGAGGACCCTCTTTTTCTCAGAGCAAGCCTGGGTGCAGAATGACTTGCTGGCAACTTTAAGGAACTTGAGTTATATGCTGCTTCTTTTTCACTATAGTTTCTTCCCTACTTTCTGATAAATTCATACTTTGCTGGAACATCTAAATCAGCCAGCTGTGGTTTACATATAGGAACCCCTCTGTGTTTCTAAGTCCTGATTGCACGATTCTAGTTGGTTAAACCAAAATAATAAATATGATTTTGCCTAAAGCCAGAAACAGATGGAATGAATCATTTAGGGTTGGGATGGGGATGGGGGAATGAGATGGAGGGGGATGGATTTTAGACTCTTTAGTATTTGAATAATGACAAACCATAGTTTTTGTATAGTCTCTAGGACAGAGGTCCCCAACCTTTGGGCTACTACCAAGCCTTGAGTCATTTGGAATTGGGCAGTGGAAGTGACAGGAGTATGTGCATCCCAACTAATGTGAATAGTGAGCGTGCATCCTCCATTTGCACGAGTGGGTGTGTGTGCGTGCCCACTGCTTGTGCAAATGGAGCATGCACACACCCTTGCAAGCAACTCACGTAGAACCATCCCCTCTCCTCTCCCCAGCCAAGCCGCAAAGCCAGAAAGGTTAGGGAACTGGCATAGATCAGAGACAATAATCTACTGCTGTAAAGTAATTTTAAAAAGATTCATTAGTGGGAATCAAATAGGATCTGAAAGTGCAGCAGTCTGTAGATGGAAAGTAACTTTGGAATTTTTGAAATTTAGCTCCTTTGCAACTTACATCATGGCAGCAATCTTGCAGTGGTAGTAACCAACAGTAAGTGGGTGACTGTCGAAAGTCTAGCTCCGTGATGGCAAACCAATGGCACGCGTGCCCAAAGTGGCACACGGAGCCATGTCACCTGGCACCCATGGCGTCGCCTGTTCCTCTTGTGGGTTTTTGGCGCGCATGTGCACGCAATGATCAGCTGACCTATTTGCCTCTGGCAGTATCAGAAACTAGAAGAGCTGGTCTTCCGTTTTCCTGCGTGAGTATGCACGCCGGCCAGCTGATCGTTGCGTGCACATGCATGCACATGTGTGCCAGAAACCCGGAAGGGTAGCTGGCTGAAACCAGAAGTTCAATAGCTGAAACTGGAAGTTCATTTTTGGGCACGCGCATACACCCTGGGCTGCTCCTCTTCCAGATTGCGGCCCAGACGCACGTGCGTCAGGGGTGGGTTCTAAATTTTTTTACTACCGGTTCTGTGGGCGTGGGTTATTTTGTGAGCATGGCTTGGTGATGGTGGGGGTAATGTGACTGGGTGGGCATGGCCAACTTTTTTTTTTTTTTTACTTTTAAAAGCATTTTTTCTACAACCTTAAGAAGTTGCAGAAAAAAATGCTTTTAGAAGCTTCTGACGATCAGGCAACTCAGCTGGGATTGTCAGAGGCTTTTAAAGGCATTTGTTTTTCTACAACCTCTTCGGCTGAAAAAATGCTTTTAAAAGTAAAAAAAAAGCCTCTGATGAGGCGGGCGGGGTAAGCGAGTGGTTCAGGGGCGTGGCCAGCCAATGTTATTACCGGTTCTCTGAACTACTACAAATTTTTACTACCGGTTTGCGAACTGATGTGAACCGGAAGCAACTCACCACTGACGTGTGTGCTCCCTTTTTGGCACTTGGTGCCGAAAAGGTTCATCCATCACTGGTCTAGCTGATGACATATAACAACAGATTGCAATGTGCTAAGTTCTGGTACTTGCACATGTTTCAAATTGTCTGCCGGTGTAATAAAATATTTCCTCACATTTATATTGAAGCTTGACTGTTATATCTGTACAGAGATTGCTAATGAATTCTGTTTTTCTGAGGTTTTTCTGTGAAATGGAGCTACTTTGCAAACTATTGTGTGCTTTTGAGTTGCTTGGAATATCTTACACTTTCCCACTCTTGATTGTTATACATTACTGCTGGCAATCAAAACATGAGCTTTTTCAGGAATGCAGGATCAGTGTAATAGTTCTAGATAGACTTACACAAAAGTAGGTCTTACTGAATAAAACTATATTACTCCCAAGTACTATAAGCATGCAGAGTATTGCTGCCTAGGTTATCAATTTAAAAAGTCTGTAAATCATTGCAATAGTTGCTTTATTCCTTGGAATTCATATGGGAAGGAAAAAAATACATCAATTGTTAAACTTTTTCTTCCTTCGGCTGCGACTTAGGTGATACATGAAGTGTGATTTATGAGATGATAAGATAGTTGTGTTCTTTTACATTGTAATCCATTATCCTCACAGATTGGCATGCCAGGTCACAGTGAGCCCAGACATATCTTGGTTCAATCTTTAAGTCTGTCTGCAAATAAATTTGTGATTTAAAAATTCCCTTTGAAATTCCTGCAAAGTTTTTCTTTGGTTGTTAAAGTGGAGAAGCTACAGTCTTCATTTAGTAAACAATTCTGTACCCAGATTGTTAAGAGGGGAAAAAAGAGTTTCAAAGAACTCTGAAGTAATAGAACCATATCATTAAATCTGTAATTGCTGTCTCATAAGAAAAAGCCACTGGACTGTCTGAGTGTCTTTGGAGTGTGTATAAGCTGTTTTTGTAGAAGGCTGTGAATGACTTGAAAGATCTGAGAACAAGGAAATCTATTCCTAAAACACTAACAAGAAATTAATTTTAACAGGATTGATCGTAATAATAGTTTCCTCTCTTAAGCAATATTGTTTGGAGCCTCCAGTTATTTAGTCATTTAATGGACTTACCACTATAAATACGTAGGTACTTAAGAAAATATTAAGAGAACCAGTTTGATGTAGTAGTGGCTAGAAACTGGAAGACTGGAAGCCAGCTGAGTGACTTTGAGCCAGTCACTCTCTGTCAGTTCTAGCAAGGAGGCAATGGCAAAGTATTTCTGAAAACCTTGCCAAGAAAACCTCAGTGACTTGTCCATGTGTTTGGTTGGTTGGTTATCAGGAAGGAAGGAAGGAAGGAAGGAAGGAAGGAAGGAAGGAAGGGAGGGAGGAAGGAAGGGAGGAAGGGAGGAAAAATCTTGCCAAGTAACTGCCAGTCAGTTACCAAGAGTTTAGACTGACTTGGAGCTACACACAAAAAAAGAATGAATGAATACTATTACTATATTGCATTATGATGATTTATAGAAAAATTACCACAGTACTGTGCTAGATCACTATTTTAGTAGGCATATTGTCAAAGTATAAACCTTTTAGAATCACTTGCAATCGAGGCAGTATAACAATGCCCAAAGAAATAAATAGGGCAAATGGTGAGTGATGATGTAAGTTATCAGGAGAGCTACATAATGTGCATCCCAATTTCAGATAATCATAAAGCATAATACACTATTCTTCTATTATATAAAGCAAAGCCTTAGCTAAGGTAAAAACTGAGCTAAGAAAAAAAGCTGAGCTAAAAACGCCTTCCAGAGCCACTATTTTTTTTCATTAAATAGCAAATGCTAAAAAAAAGTGCAGGCTGCTATGAACATAGGTAAGAGTAAGACTAATGGGAGGTGAAAAACAGTGTGCACAAGAAAGCACAAAAGCTAAACATGGTTTGCATAACAACAGAATTAAAATAATGATAGCAAGAGGGTAACAGTGTAATAGAAGCATAACTGTCATGGAGATATTCTTGGAGCTTGGAATACAGCAGATAATAGTTTGATGCAAAACTTTTGTAAATCAGCTACAGAACTATGTCCTAAGGACTTGCTTGTCTAATTCCAGAGTTTTAGAGCATGTGATAATCAAAGAGATGGGAAATTGGCAGATGTAGATGGTAGTTTTGAAAATTTAAAGTAAATGAGGAACCGACAGTGGTATAATTGTCCCTTCAGACATGACTGATGCTCATGTGGTCAGAATTTTTTTCTCCTTCATGTCAGGACTCTGTCATGCTGCCTTTGCACAACTCTTAAACTAGGCTGAAATAGAATTGAAAAATGTATAGGGAACCCAACCATTGCCTCTGTATTCTGTGAGCCAGGCCATCACATTAACTCATAACGTAGTTGATCTATTTTATATAAAATGGTAGCTAACACAACTGCTATCACTCCTAGCCTATGTTTAGGTTTTACTGCATTGTATGAAGTCAGCTATAGAGCTATATACCTCTCTTCATTCCGCTACTCCATTCAGCTGCAATCAGTTTATATCACAGTCGGTGGCTTTTGTCATCTTATCTTTAGTGCTTTCTAGTGAGATTTCAGCTGAGTATAAAAGGACAGTTTGGTTACTCTTGTGTAAAAGTAATCACTGATAATCACACAAAGACTCACATGGCAATGGGAAATAGCTATCCTTGAATTATTTAGAGAGAGGAGAGAATGTCCTTATGAAATCTCCACCTCTTTAATTTTAGCCAAATAACGTTCTGTCATTTAAAAACAGTCACCGATAGGTGATTGCCAAAAAAAAAAAAAAAAAAAAAGCCAAAAG